CTTCCTTTTTTACTTTTTTTGTTTCTCTTTATAAGCGTAAGCAGTCAATGTAGTCCACTTGTTTGCTCTCGTAAATGTCTCTGTCAGGGTTTCTTTTGGTACACATTTTCATAAAATTTGGCTGATAAAACACAGTGTTCAAAGAGGTTTTGGCAGAGCTTTGGTGGGCCGATACAAATTTTTTTTTTTTTTTGAGTGGGTGCATTTTTTTAGTTGCACTACCTGCACCGGTGTGAAAAAGTGCAATGTGGTGTACTTCTGGCATGTGTAAGAAAGTGCAAGGTGGTGTACTTCTGGCATGTGTATCGAGATAGAACCGTAAATACATTGCCCTACAATTTTCTTCACCAGTGCAGGTGTGGCTAAAAAGATGCACCTAGAGTCGGTGACAGGTCAAGAACGAAGTGGAAGCTCCTCCCACCCTTTTCCACTTCAGCCGAGCAAACGTTAAAGGGCAACTCCGGTCCATACTTTCGGTTTTGGGATTATGACTGTTTTTAGTCCAGTCAGCGTCCCTGAACTGCAAGGTGCAATTTTTTTCTCGTTATTGTGCGTAGTTCTACAGATATGGACCCCTCAAAGTTTTGTTTGGGGCGCGGCCAACAAACCCGAAACTAGCCGCTCGAGGCTCCGGCAACGCTCGAAATCAACCGCTATGTGAACGTGACGTCAGGATCGTTCTCGTTCAACGAGCACGCACGCCGAGCGGCACCTACCTCTGTTGCGCTAGCCGTCTAAAGATAGGAGGTAAGCTGATTTTGTTTTAATTCTGTATACGTGGTAGTTATCCAGCATATGTAGCAAGGGCTAGTGCATATACCCAAAAGCTAGCGACTGGAAAACCCGTGAACTCGTACGATTCCGTACTCGGCGGCCGCCGCCATGCGTGCGCTATGCCGTACTAGTCGCTTGTATACCCAAAAGCTAGCGACTGGAAAACAAGTGAACTCGTTCGGTGCCGTACTCTGCGGCTGTCGCCGTGTGTGTGGTCTTCCGTACTCGTCGCTAGACCTAAATTGTCATCGGGGCTCTGTGGATGGAGCGGCGTTGCTCTACGCTGTGCTGCCAGTGACGTACAGTACTGGGGGCCCTCTCACTTTCGCGCTGCGGGTCAGTCCCAGACACGAAGCTTTGAGGCTCTACGGCGCGAGCTGCGGCGTCCGAACACACGAGTGCTGGGCTGTACACCTCTGTTTTTTCGTTCTTTTTTCCTCGGGCGCATAAAAGCCGAAGTCCAAAGTCCACTCATCGAACAGCGTTCACCCACACTTTCTTCAATTTCCGGTCCGTTCGAAACTTGTGAAGAAGCACCTCCGGGTTGCACAGCGGGTTGTTTGAGCAGCCCACAGCGCTACAAGTTGCGCTCGGCATCTTTCGAGGAACAGCTGGGCAGTCTTGGGCGCACCGAGTTGCTCGCTAAAACGAGTCTTGAAGTCCTCACAAGCAAATAAACAAAAATCTATACCGAAGCTACACGGGCTACAGATAAAAGCAACGGCTAAACACGCCAATCGCAAGCCGAAGTAGCTGTGGTAGTGGCTCAAAGAAGCGCACTACGCGCAACTCCTGGACCAGAGGAAAAAAAGAGAAGGATACTGACGTCACGGCCCAATGTTGCTTTGGCGATCGACAAACCGCTTGCCGCCCGCTAAGGAGCAGCGGCTTGCGGCGGGTCGCATTTTTATTATCGGCATTAGTTGAGAATGCGGCGTCCCACGGACGTAATATTTTGGCTGGGGTCGTAATTTGCAGAGCAGTCGCTTTCTTGTATGGTATCGCCATTGTCGCGGCTTGGTTTGATGGCAGAGTTATTGCTTTTTGGTGACACCATGTTCCAAAACTTCCTTGGGTTACCATTCAAAATAAACAGCGAGTCATAAAAACAAAACTTAGCCAATTTCAACTTTTTATTGTAGTTTTTAAGGGCAAAGTTATAAGCACCCAAAGCTTGAGGTGTTAACACGTTTAGCCTTTGCAAATAGCCTTTTCTTGTTATGCAAAAAGAGCAGCATTTTGGTGAACCATGGGTTATTTGAATCAGTGCATACTCAGGCTGTCGGAACAAACATATATATAAGACTGTTCATTTTAGCTTTAAATAATGCCGGTTTCCTCTACTGATGGAAGAGGACAATTTAAATGTAATGGTCAAAAAAGATTGTCAACCCATGATCTATTCATCTATAATCAGCCTCATTATAATCGCGAATGATCTTGGAAATAGAATGTTTGACGAGAACGGAGTGGCAAGTCGACATGTTGTAACCTATAATCACGGAGCCCGTCGCAGTATTGAATGGACTTGACAAGGTCCGGTGACGTAGTTAGTGCAGGGGTGGAACTCACGAAATGTCCTTGGGAACAGCCACGGGAGCAACTGAAACAGCTGTTTAGGAGCAGGTTGGGAGCAGCTAAAACTATGTTCTGGAGCAGGCTAGGAGCAGCTCAGATCAGTTTTCATTGCACTTCAGCTTGTGTCTTAGACACGCACGGGAGCAATTTAAATAGCGCTTAGCAGCACAGATGAACATGAGTGGTTAGGGACCTAGGTAGATGGGATAACAGTGTAAAAGGTGTGAAAACTTGAAACTTTGTGAGCCTCTATACTTTCCAGACTCGTACGTAACGTGTTACAAGATTACTTGTAATTGATTATTTTTACTGCAATTTTGTGACGCTTCGATTACTTCCTTTAAGGGGTAATGATCTTTTTAGTTGAACTAATTTTTTGCTGTAATCGATTACAAAATTACCCCCCATTACAATCTTCCTCATTTCTTTTTTTTTTTTTTTTTTTGGGGGGGGGGGGGGGGAGGGAGTTGGAGTTATTCAGCTCCGGGCAACGGGCTTTTTTTTTTCGAAATTATTAAGCACGAGGCTGTGAGGATTAGTAGGCCACTTTACTATGCTTCTTTTTCGTGGGTACATTTTTATTTCTACACCGGAGACTACTTATGGGTATGAAAAATGACTTTATCTAGCCTCTTGTGAGGGATTAGGTGTGTGCCATCACTCACTCAGCTTTAAGCGCGAAACACACGTACAACCAAACCGTCCGATCCGACGTGCGGACTGCCGGAATGACCTTGGGGGGCGAGGGGGTTCCGCAGCATCGGAGAGCGTTGAAAACCCTTGCCTCCGACCGTCGTATTGCGCGGTCAGACGTCGGATCGGACGGTTTGGTTGTACGTGTGTTTCGCGCTTTAAGCAAAAACAGTCGAGGCTTTCTTTTTTTTTTTTCTTTAACAACTGAGCGCGAGATTCCACGGATTATGCTATCATAAAAAAAGTTTGAATGAAAAGTAACGTGGGAAGTAATTGCTTACTTTAGAGTAATTTTTCGATTACTTCTTTGAGGCTGTAATTGTAATTGTAGTCGGGTACTTTATACAGCAAAGTGATTGTAACTGTCATCGGTTACTTTTTCAGTGACGGGTACAAGTCTGATTATTTTCTTAGTGGCTTTCAGCTGCTCAAAATGCAAACCAGCTCTGCTTATCACACAACCCACACGTGCTCGACATAGTACTTATATGTGCGAACCACGTGACGTGCGTAAGCAACGGACGCGGAGTTGCGCGGAGGAACAGGGCACCAAATTTCGAGTTTATCCTATTGTGCAACTGAATATCGAAGCAGCAGACTACGATTAACGAAGTTATCGTATTCGAAGTGACAAGCAGGTGCAAGGTTAAAGTACACCAAACAGATCTACCGATCGCGTGAAAGCTGCTGGCCGGCAAGGTTTCGGATCGGATCACGTTTCAGTTCTATCAAATCACGATTTATCTTGCGGGAACGCGGTTCCAACTTCTAACGATAAAGTACTAAAAGTTTGAGGACACATGCGAAGTAAAAAAACATTTTTTTTGTAAACAGACCAGATGGAAAAAGAATGTTATAAAATAAAATTAGAACGAAGAAAAAAAAATTTTAGAGCTATATTGACGGCACAAAATGATTTTGTAGTTGCGCCCGTGGGAGCCGCCGCAAGTCATGTGATAGACCTGTGCGCCGTCTCAAAGTCGACTCACAGTCACGCCGCCGCTGCACGCTGAGCGTGGTGCGCCGCCGTCAACTCATTTCTCCACACCGCCACCGCCGCGCAAGTTTGTCTACCCCGCAGCGCTGCCGCCGTCATCTGACCGGCACACAGGTCTATCACGTCTGCTTCCGCTTTTTCAGGAGCTTTCTTTGGGTTCGAAAAGTTACCGATTAATCTTTGTGTTTTGTTGCACTTGAAATAAAGATGAATAACTAACTTTTAGAGACCATAGGAAGCTTCCGATAGAGCGGAAGCACCACGTGACAAATAGCGACCAGTCACGTGACAACTAGCAGCCACTTTTCCGCAGCGCCCGCCGGCGCCAACTACAAATTCGTATAGCGCCGTGAATATAGCTCTTAAAATTTTTATTTTCCTTGTGAATTCCTTTTATGACTTCCTTTTCCCAACCAGGCTGTTTAAAAAAACTTTATTAGTCCTTTGCATGTGTCCTTTAAGAAGTGCTCGAGCTTCCTTAGGCTTCCTTGCTGGAAATCCTTTGTATTCCTGTTACTAACAAGTGCACCAAGTGAGACACTTCGGCCATTATTGAACACTTTGAATAAACAAATATGAATAGTTGGAAGATGTTACAAAGCAGTCTACATTGATAAAATTTCGTTCTTTCTGCATGTCAAGTTCGCTTGTGGCGTAATCTAAGATTACTACGACATACCAGTTAAGGAAAGTTGGTCTTCAAATGCGGACACCACACGCGAGCCACAGCGAGCTACAATGGGGAGCAGTGCCACGCTTGAGAAGCCCATCGAGGCACAGATGTTGTTTGGTCTAGCCACAGTTTACAAAATGGCCGCTGCAGCAAGAACAGCGGGACTGCGACTGCTCGCTTTTAACAATTCTGCAAAGCGGACACCTATGGCAGTTTTTCAACTGAGATGTTCAAGTAACGGTGGTGTAACCCGTGCCAAAAATGAAATGGAGCATAGAGACCCACTTTATTCGGCTGGCGGATGGAGATTCTGCACACCGACGAGCTGAAGCACTAGCGAAGTCAGTGCGGACGACTGGTGCGCACTTGCTGCTGCTTGTCCCTCTACAGCCTGCAGGAAAAGGGGAGCGCATTATGCACAAAATGCAAACTGTTACGCAACACATTAGTAAAGTGAAAAGCACGCCAGAGGTTTTCAGACGCGTTGCAAGCAATACAATAGGAAACTTTTGCCAAACAACTTTTCACCTTGGTAAGCTCTGTGCAGTCATGTTGCAGAGCAGTTTTCACCATTCACCTTATTAGATTACTCGTAGACAACGAGTTACTGGCATTTTAGGTGCTCCTAAAGCACAGAAGAAAAGAGAATGGCTGTGTTAACGAAAGAAGTCGAGAAGTCTGATCAAAGGCGTATGTGGGGCGAGTAAATCCACCCTTACTCTGTTCTCTTTCCCCTTTGGAGCTGCCTTGGTGGCGTCCTTGCCTGCGCTTGCGAATGATGCATTTTAGTTACACTGACGGCAGAGTTGCCGCGTGACAAGTCCTTCAGTAACGAGGCCAGTTTCCTATAATTACACGAACACACGCTGGTGGCGGAATATTATTTATTTGTTTCTTTAGTTACTTAGAATTACCCTCAAGGCCCCGAAGGGCATTACAGAGGGGAGTGCATGGTTAGTACAGTTCTGATTTTAGCGTTATCGGTGATGGTGACAATATCATCTGGAAGGCCATTCCAGTCTACAATAGCTTCTGGTAGAAGGGAATGTTGAAATGGTCTTGGGAAGGGTAATCTTGCACGAATGATCGAGTCTTGCAGAGATATAGCTGGGCTGGCTGAGGAGAGACTGTCGTAATGGTTCCGAATAGTACATTTTATGGAAAGGCAAAGACGGGAAATTCTGCGACGAACGGAAAGATCAGGAAGAGCTAATTGACATTTCATTGCAGTGACACAAGAAAAGCGAGACTAATTAGAAAAAATAAATCGAGCAGCACGATTCTGGACAGATTCGATTTGCGTTAGTTAAAAAAAGACTTATGTGGGTGCCAGATAGCTGAAGCATACTCTAGTTTAGGGCGAACAAGCATGGCGTAAAGGAGACGTTTAAGGATAGAAAAGGCAGAGTTGAAATTGCGACAAACAAAACCGAGTGAGCGGTTTGAGGATGATATTGTCTCGTCGACATGAACATTCCTGGATATATTAGTGGTTAAACGAACGCCTAGATATTTTTACTGTGTAGCAGTCAGAATGGTAGTGCCATTGAATGTTAACGAGTTTAAGGGCTGGAAGCAAGAATGTGTAAAGCAAAGGTGTGTGCATTTGCTAATGTTGAGACACATCTGCCATGTGTGACACACTGCTTCAATAGCTTTTTTATATAACTTGCGATTCAAATAAAATGAAATTTACATGGCTTATTTGGCATTACAATCGGACTACAAATATGTACTTTGTTTTGAGGTAACCTAATTAGATTTATTAATATTAAAAATTTAATTTGCAATGATTATGGAAAGGATTAACGCAAATTAAAATACTGAGCTCAGAAAATAAACATAGATCAGTGAACTGAGAGGTATGTGCAATCCAATAAGGTATAAATGAAAGCTCTAGGATGATTTATAAATTACTTATGACACTTTTGAACCTTCCAGTTTCAAAATCATTTTTTGCCGGATGCCTAAAAGGCACCCACAAAAAGCCTGACAGCCTATTTAATATATTTGTAGCCCTCATTCAATATGTCGAAAATCCTTCAGGACAAGATGATAAGTGCTTGCCAAACTTCAAAAAACACATTTTTAAAAATGTGTTTTCTTAGTAAAATTTTGCTTCAAAGAGCAGTGTCTCCCCTTAAATGCCGTTCTGGAGTGCAACATGGTCATATGGGTTTTTTATTAGTCTATAAACAGCACAGGTCATCAGTGAAAAGATGAACAGAGGATGAGATGTGAAGAGGGAGATCATTAATGTAGATTAAAAAGAGCAAAGGCCCAAGCACAATTTCCTGTGGAACACCGGAAGAAACGGGAGAGAAAGAGGAGGATGTGCTGTTAGTGAAAACGAATTGAGAGCGATGAATAAGGAATGATTCAATCCACTTAGGAACATGAGGATCTAGTTTTAGGAAAAAAAGTTTAAGAAGAATGCGATTGTCCGGGACTTTAGCAAAAACTTTGGCGAAATTAAGCAAAACAGCGTCAGTAGGAAAGCCGGTGTCAAGATTTTTAAACAAATCGTTAGTTATAATAAGTAGTTGGGTCCCAATAGAAAGGCGTTTCCAGAGGCCATGCTGCACATTGGTGAAGAAATTGCAGGAATCCAGGAAGTTAATCAGGTGCCTGTAAATGACATGCTCGAGGATCTTGTAGAGGCAGGTGAGTGATATTGGCCTACTTACTAATTTTCCGGTCAGAGGGCAACACCCCTGTGTCCACGGACTGCTCAAATATCTTTGAGGTAAAGACCGGATGAAAATTTAGTGTTAGTGAGAGCCTTCGTAATGATTTCCTCTATGCCACATGATGGAGATATTTTGAGGGTTTCTATACCGCTGAAAACACCCTGAATGTTTATAACAATTGAATCCATTGGAAAATCATTCTCTATAACAGGAGAAATTCCAGTAATGGGTGTAGAAATAGTGAAAGCATCAGAAAACGCACTATTTAAATATTCACACATTCACTATTCAATATGTTATTACAAGAGCTATTCACTAGATTAATTTCAGAGTACAAATCTCCAAAATTTGCGAGGGTTGTTTATTAACATATTAGGTAGAGTTTGCAGAAAGAATGTCTGCTTAGAGTTATCAGAAAGAATGTGTGCTAACACCCCTTTAACATAGTTTTTTATTCGGAAGAGCAAGTGGCAAGCTTAGGCCAAGTATTTCCTTTTTTAGCGCTCCTGAAACATCTTTTCTTTTTATGAGATAAACGATGAAGTGGATTATTGAACCACGGTTTAGACGTAGTAGTTCGGATTGTCGAGCACAGTATGGTAATTTTCAATAAGTTGAAAAAATTTTGTCTCAAGGCTTGCCAATTTTCATTAGCATTATGGCACTGGAAGGTTTCATTGAAATAAACAAAATAAAGCCTTCGCTGTTGGACACTTCAAATACACATACAAATCATATCTGGTTTCAGTTTGAGTCTAAGAACACTGCCTTCTAACTTAACTGGCTAAAGTAGGGTTGACCAAAATCAGCCTAACAACAATAATTGGGAGTGCACTACACTACAGTTCTCTTAACACCTACGCTTGCAAGTCGACGGAGTGCATCGACTGCCTCTCTCTGCACGAGCAGCATTTCCTGCTGAACTGCCAGCTGCTGCTGCTGGGTGGCCAGCAGACCCTGCTGTGTGGCCAGCAGTTCTCGCTGGACAGCCAGCTGGTCCTGCCGAATGGACAGCAGATCCCGTGCCGTATCAACTCCAGACCGTTCGTACCATTCGGTGGTAGGGGGCATGCCACTTGCGCAGGACGTTCCTCCTCTCCTCCCTTTGCCATGTCGCCTTCAGCCACAGACCCCTGCATAATATAATTCAACTATGTAACACGCCACAACGCTATACAGCCCTTCTAGTTATACCTGTGTCTAATAGTGTGCACCCTAAACTCAATATTATTTTTTTTTTCGAATGTCACGGATTTATTGTCTCCGAGTGGGTCTAGAAATGTGCTGCAGCCCCGATATCCAAGCTTTCGTGGAAAACACCACGAGGCAATACATTCGCACCACATTGTTTTGTACATTAGTGTTCAATAAGGTAAAAAGCAACATGGTGTCTGCTCATGATCCAAGAGATTCACGGTACTTATCGAAGCTGCTGCTGCAGCCGTGAAGTCCCACAGCGGCGCGTCCACTGTCGGGGGCGCACGCCCGCCCCCTCGAGAGAAATCCGTCCCCACAAAAAATAATAATTTTTCTTGCTCCGCGTTTAGGGACGGCCCATCACTCGCGCCTCCACCGGCATACCTGCCAACCTGTGGACATTAAAATTCGTAAAACTCACGCAATTGCGGGGGGGGGGGGGGGGGGGGGGGCTGTTTCGCAAGGTGGCAAGGCTTAATGTCAGCCTTGTCACCGTGCAAAACGCTTACGTTACACGTGCACGTGCTACAGAATCCAAACTTCTCTCCTTTTTGGACGGCACAAAGCACTGGAATTCCGACGTGTAGGACTTCAAGAACACCTGAAAGTACCTCTTTTTAGGTTTGGAATTTGCCATTGCACCGCGAAGCCACCGCAACCAGAGGAATGCTATGATTACACGTGTAACAAACACAGACGCTGCACTTCTCGCCTCGAAACTGGCCGAAACAGAGGCCCAACCACGTCTGAACACGCCAAACCAACATGCGCCGCCAAACACACAAACAAAGGCTTTGGGCTTTGGATTGATTTTGGATATGTGGCCCCCGGATAGACGGATAGTAAAAACCACAACGCTGCCGTGGACGGCACCTGTCGCCCTCTTGTGGCAGTGTGAGGTACCGCCAGCAACGGTTTTACGAAAAAAATGTAAAAAAAAATAGAAATGAAAAAAGTATCTTTTTTTCGTAAAATTTGAAGCAAGATTCGTAAAATCGTAGAATTAGTCCCAATTCATACATTTTACAAAAAATTCGGAAGAGTTGGCAGGTTTGCACCGGTCTTCTGTTAGGGACACGAGACTCTCAGGTCGCAAGCCCACGTCTGGCATGCACGTGAGTTCCAGAAAGTTATTCTTTATGGCCGAAGGGCATTTAACTCTCAAACTATTACGCCCCATAGTGTATCTCGCTCCTCCTTGGTAACAAAGCTCTCTGTAGCAGTCCCCGAGAAAACTCGACTTTCACCGAGAAAGTCCAGGAGAAGCGCAAACTGTCGTGCCGAGACGTAGCGACCTAGCTTGCGCTTCTTAGCGTTGTCGGCCACAACTGTCTTCGCAACGTAAAGGGTTGTAGTTAACGTTGATTGTATTGCCGCGCGCAGGGTCACGGACTTCTAGTACTTTCTCGTTTATTCTTGCTCCGGACCTAACTTCTGTCGTTTATCCCTGCTTATGTTGTTCTAGAAAGTGCGTGTACATTCTCGCCGCGAGCGCGCTACGCTCGAACCTTCTCCGCCGAATCTTCGAGATAGTGACTCACTCTAGATAAGACGCCGCTCGCGACCTTGTCGAGTCAGTCTCGCCTCTGCGCTCGATCCTGCGGTTTCGCCGATATCGACGCCCGCGACGCTCTGCTGTTTTCTTTTGTACCCTTTTATTTTTGGCACAAGTTCGCCACATTAAACGTTTATTTCTTCTTGTTCATTTTCTGTTTTCTTTTGGTCACCACCCGTGACATTTTGGTGGAGGTGCTGGGTAGCAAGGGTCCTGATTCCGGGGGTAGGCCAAGGTTCCGGCGACATAGTCGGATCTCGGTCTGGTCTTCGTTGGGTTCTTGGGGGCTTGTGTTCGGACTTGCACTGCGAGAACTCGGGGGGGGGGGGGGGGGGAGCGCTGCACGGGCATGCGGTTACCCCGCACCTCCACCAAAATGTCACGGGTGGTGACCAAAAGAAAACAGAAAATGAACAAGAAGAACGCATGGTCGGAAGGTAACGACCATGCTGGACGCCATGCTGCCCCATGAGCCATCTGACAACGAGAGCGACGACGCCCAGGCGGTTGCTCAACGCGCCGAAGAAGTCCGCCAGCTCGCCCGACTCATGATTCAAGACCAGCAACGCGTCGACGCCGGCCGCTACAACCTTCGTCGTAGGGACGTTCACTTCCAGCCCGGAGATAATGCCGCGCGCAGGGTCACGGACTTCTAGTACTTTCTCGTTTATTCTTGCTCCGGACCTAACTTCTGTCGTTTATCCCTGCTTATGTTGTTCTAGAAAGTGCGTGTACATAATGCCGCACGCAGGGTCACGGACTTCTAGTACTTTCTCGTTTATTCTTGCTCCGGACCTAACTTCTGTCGTTTATCCCTGCTTATGTTGTTCTAGAAAGTGCGTGTACATTCTCGCCGCGAGCGCGCTACGCTCGAACCTTCTCCGCCGAATCTTCGAGATAGTGACTCACTCTAGATAAGACGCCGCTCGCGACCTTGTCGAGTCAGTCTCGCCTCTGCGCTCGATCCTGCGGTTTCGCCGATATCGACGCCCGCGACGCTCTGCTGTTTTCTTTTGTACCCTTTTAATGTGGCGAACTTGTGCCAAAAATAAAAGGGTACAAAAGAAAACAGCAGAGCGTCGCGAGCGTCGATATCGGCGAAACCGCAGGATCGAGCACAGAGGCGAGACTGACTCGACAAGGTCGCGAGCGGCGTCTTATCTAGAGTGAGTCACTATCTCGAAGATTCGGCGGAGAAGGTTCGAGCGTAGCGCGCTCGCGGCGAGAATGTACACGCACTTTCTAGAACAACATAAGCAGGGATAAACGACAGAAGTTAGGTCCGGAGCAAGAATAAACGAGAAAGTACTAGAAGTCCGTGACCCTGCGCGCGGCATTATCCCCCCCTTTAAAAGCGCATCGTCCCGATGCAGCACAAAACAAAAAAACAAAAAAAAAAACAAAAAAACACAAATCCTTAACAAAATGGTAGCAAAATCGCGAGCCACAGTTCACAGTTCTCAGTTCACTCGTCGACAAGAGTAGAAAGTTCCATCGTTCGTAATACGGCTTCAGCCGGACGACGTGCACCACCTCGGAACGCGCCCATCTGCAAGACGTCAGCCGCGACCCGAGGTGGTGCACGTCGTCCGGCTGAAGCCGTATTACGAACGATAGAACTTTCTACTCTTGTCGACGAGTGAACTGAGAACTGTGAACTGTGGCTCGCGATTTTGCTACCGTTTTGTTAAGGATTTGTGTTTTTTTGTTTTTTTTTTTGTTTTTTTGTTTTGTGCTGCATCGGGACGATGCGCTTTTAAAGGGGGGGATAATGCCGCGCGCAGGGTCACGGACTTCTAGTACTTTCTCGTTTATTCTTGCTCCGGACCTAACTTCTGTCGTTTATCCCTGCTTATGTTGTTCTAGAAAGTGCGTGTACATTCTCGCCGCGAGCGCGCTACGCTCGAACCTTCTCCGCCGAATCTTCGAGATAGTGACTCACTCTAGATAAGACGCCGCTCGCGACCTTGTCGAGTCAGTCTCGCCTCTGCGCTCGATCCTGCGGTTTCGCCGATATCGACGCCCGCGACGCTCTGCTGTTTTCTTTTGTACCCTTTTATTTTTGGCACAAGTTCGCCACATTAAACGTTTATTTCTTCTTGTTCATTTTCTGTTTTCTTTTGGTCACCACCCGTGACAGTATTCATTATTTCAGTACATTAGGTACTAATTCATGCAACCAGATTTCAGGAATATATTTTTTTAATTTTGTCTCATGCTATTCATTTTGCCAACTTAAAAATAATATTTTTACTGTTATACTCACCGCGGTGTTTTGAGATTCTTAGTGGGGACACTTTAAGGGAAAAATCCCGATAGAGTTTCAACTCAGTCGTGCGTGTTGACCGACGTCACAATGGAGTTGGTTCGCCGGTGGAGTTTGCCAAAGATGGAGATGAAGCTGCTCCCATTGGCAATCCCACGAAGGAGATTCACCACTGCTTCTTTCAGCATAGACAGACGGGCGATGAGGTCAGAGGGGATGCACCTACCGAAGAAGCTGCATCACAGAGGCTAGCCTCACCACGTCATGTCATGGCCCTGCTCTTTTCAGCATGTTATTTATTATATTGCGCCAGAAAGCCAGCGACATCAGTACCTGGGCTAGTTGGTGCCACTGATCTCTGTTGTAGTAAGCTGGATCACGAATCGAGGCTCGTCTTAATAGGGAGGAGTGGTGCCACCAGCGCCCATCACTTGACATTGGCTAATGCATAAAACTCTATGGGAAAGACAAAGAAAAGTGACGTTCCCCCGCTCGTAAACTGTTGTCGTCACTGAATCTTTTGGCTGCTGTCGGGAAGCCTGTCAAATAGCTAGTGCACAAACATTAAATCTGACAACCCTCGCGGTTGTTATATAGAAATGTTTTGTTGTCGAGAGTGACTCTACTGGGCAAAAAATGTAGAGCAGCTCACTGAGAAGAGAGTTACCTAGAGGTACCTCGGAGTCGGTGGCGGTTTCAATGAGTCGGGTTTAGCAGGTGACAAGCTTGAAGGCTCTGCTATGATTTCGCTCACTCCCGGAAAGACGCTGCCAATATGGAACTTTGTTGACGTTCAGCAACTTCTGGGCTCCCCCACGACGGCATTATTGACAGCAAGTTTATTTGTTCACTCCACCACGAGAGCAAGCTTGCCAGATCAGCCATGGGTGCTATAGCACAATATTTTAATGGGCATTCGAATGCTTGAGAAATCGCAATTCAACCTCCAAACACAATATAAAATTATTGCAGCACATCGTAAAATACATGCCTTCGAACACTGTGTAGAAGCTTTAATTTCCTTCTTTTGTGTGTTTCTCCCATAGACTTGCGTGTATACACGACTTGCATTGACGTCACATCAGCCACCATTGCTGCGGACCATGCTCCAGTGCCCGTACCTTCCGGAGCACACATTTAGGACCAATGAATTTCTTCCTCTCGGAGAACTTTGCGGAGAAGAACAGATTCGATGCTGCCAAAATGTATGTTCCAGAGGGTACGGGCACAGGAATGGTATGGAGCCATATGACGTCCCGTGCAAGGCACGTATTGCTTGGTGCCAAGCAATGGCTGCCGGTGGCGCCACCGACAGACTTCCGATTTGAATCCAGCCTACTACAATAGAGACCAGTGGTTGGTCCACGCTTCAAGAAAATTGGTCTATGCGTAGGTTTACTCAGCTGCACAAATTTCCGTAGAACTATGGCAGCAGTTGAAGAAACGTTTAGGGTTCCTGCCACATGACAATGTTGGATGCGCAAGAAGCAAATGCCCGTGGCTCAGAGTCCGGTAGAGGCAAATGTGCAGCCCTCCCCGTCGCAACCTCCGAGGCGGAGTTGCGGAATTGCACACAACTGTTTTTAACACTTCGACAAGTCGCGCGAGCGAGTTGCGTGAACTGCTCGTGCCGCAGAGCACGTGAGCTCGGCAGCTGTCCAGAGTGATGAGCGAAGATTGTGGAATCAGGGCTGCCGAAGCGGCATGTACAGCCGTTACGATCAGACAGGAGCACGTCGCTTTGAAGAAAGCAGGCCAGCAGATAAGAAAGGACGTGGTTGCACACTGCACAGTTCTGACGTCACCCGTGATAAAGTTTTCGTGTCATCGACCTCCAGACCAAGCGGGCAGAGCTATACGTAGAAACCATGGTGTAATACGCCACGTCCTGTCCAGTTCTCCCTTCTTTTTCGTCTCTGTTGTTTTGGTGTTTTACAT